GCTCGCGGCTGAAGGAAAGGAGAATCCCCATGGTCGGATCCCAGCGTGGATCCGAGTGTTATCCCCTGCTGCCAGCGGCTGGAGGTGCCTCTTCCCTGAGCCCCGTTTCACGAGGCGCTAAGTAACCCCTTTAAAGTATAAGAAGGCAAGAATGAGCCCCGGTTTTGTTTTAAAAAATGAGACTTGAGGAAAGTTTCATGATTCTCTTTTAATGGGAAATACACGTTAGTGAGTGCTCCCATGCAGAGAGGTCTGGAATTGGGAAAATCAAGGGATCCACGGGCACGTTTTTGATGCTCCCGATTAGTTTAGGAGCATTAAGGTCATTAACTGCTTGAGTTAGACTGGGCATTGTGTGAGGCTGCCCGGAGCGGCGCGGGGGCCCCTTGGCAGCCCCGTGCCGGAGCCCGGATCTGATCCAGCTCCCCCGCGCTGGGCAGCGCCGACGCTGCCGGAGCAGCCCCTCCTGCTTCATCAGGTGGTTGCTCCTTCCTAGGTGCTTCCCGACACGACTGGATGAGCTCCTGGGGGAGGATCTGCCCACAGGCATCACTTACTTACCCTCCTCACATGATGCCCTGGGAATTCAAGTTGCTCCTGCTTGTCCCTTCCTGCCCCGGGTGAAGACAGACTCCCAGGGCAAAGGCTGTTTGCCCGATTATTTGAATAACAAATTATTTGAATCCAGCTTGATGATGGGGCTGCTGGTGCCGGTGCTGGTGGGATTTGCAGAGGACATCCCGTGCTGTATCGCATATCCCTTGGGCCATCTCCTGCTTGCCTGGGAAGTTGAATAATTCTGCCAGGATGGGAGGGTGGTCTTCTGCGCTTGGCATCGCCCGTCCAAGCTGCAGGAGAAAACACATTTCTATCAGCGACTTGGTGCCTGCTGTGCTGATCAAAGAGGCACGAGATTCTCGCGTTGATGCGCCAGGACGGTGTTTTAGTTGGGAGGGTTCAACGAGAGACGTGGTCTGCAGGGGAAGCTGCTCTCTTGTATTACACTGATGGAAGGACTGAGCGCCGGAGCAGCACAAGGCTCCCGTTGAAGGCAGAAGCAGCCCCGAAAGCTCTAGGGCTGCCGCGGGGCCGGGCATCCTGCAGCCGTTCCCTAGGGAACGCGGGATGCGGGCGCCGGCACCGCGGACACGGGCAGCGAGGGAGAGCGGAGCTCCCCACTGCCCACCTCTGGGCAGGCGCCATCCCGAACAAGGAGGTGCTGGGGAACACACACAGTGATCCCAGCCCCTCCGCGGGATCCGCCTTGGTGGGAAGGCAGCGTGGAGGCAGCTGGGCTTTGTGTTGCAGGGAGGAGCGTCGGCCTGGCCGGCTCGGAGCAGAGGAAGGCTGGGCAGGAGGCCATGGGGAGCCGGAGCCGCACGGTGCGGCCGGGGCTGCTGCAGGGCACGCGGTGGGGCCGGGCGGCAACCGCCGGGCGCGCGC